TGTTTTGTGGTGGCAGTGGAAGTCCAAGGGCAAAGGGTAAAATAGTTTGTACCTTGGGGAAGTTTTAACCTAAGCTGGTAAAAGTAAGCTTAGGAGGTTTTCATGCAGGTCCCCACATCTGTACCCTACAGTTCAGAGTGGGGAAGGAACCTTGACACGAGGATAACTGTACAACTTGAACTTTTTTGCTAACTTACATTCTAATGCATTCTAAAGCTTATCTGTGCAGAAGACAGATTTTTCAGGGAATTGAGGACCATCAGAACCACCACCCCATTCTGCTTCAAATACAAGATGCACTTCTTCAACCTTGCCTCTTCTCTAATATAAAAACACACAATTTTAAAAAAAACCTACCAAACAAAACACTACAGTGCACACACAGTTCTCCCTCTAGGAAGAGGATGAGAGAAAGAATGAATCACAAACAACAAATATTAGTCAATTCTTTTAATGTACTATGGGAAACTGCTTGGATACTACAATGATTAGGGCTATATAAGAATCTGTATAGAATTATTTGTCCTATAACTAAATATATTGATATTAGACTTGTAAAAAAATATTTATCTAACCAGTACACCTTGGGATGAATGTATTAGAGATATGTAACTAAGATCATTCTTAAAAAATAACATCCAAAATGATACTTAAAAAAAGGAAATTTCTTCTGTCATATATACCTTTTTCCACAATCTCCCCTGAAATAAATGCCCACACATTTTCTGAGAGACAAGGAAAACTACAACTGAAAGGTAGCTTGAACAGAGTTTAATTAGAGAATATTTATTATGGATTAAGGAAAGAGAACATTAGAGACACAATAAGTTATTAAAAATCAAAATATTCTTCTAATATATCTTTATATTTATAATTTTTTCCATACAAAAATCAACTCCAAAAAAAGTTTGTTGTAATTGGAAGCAGAATAAAAACATTTTTTATAGGACAATTTGTTAAAAATAAAAATTGTAAATTGATTGTACATCATCCAGTGGATATTTCAGAAAAGAAGTTTAGGAAAAAAACCAAAACCATTAAGGCCATTGAGTGCATTTTAGTTACAGTTAGTGGTAACATAATTGGCTGGAAAGATGCCAGTTTGTCCTCGGATGCTTCCTTCCCACCAGTCAAACTGTGAATTTGTTTTGGTTTTGACAATTATTTTATCTCCAGCTTTGAAATTCAAGTCACCTGGTTGCTGTCCTTCAAACGAATAAAGTGCTGTCACTTCCATAGGTTTAGTCTCAGAATTCCCTAAAAAGAAAGATCAATTGAAGTTTTATTTTATTTTAAAAAGATTTTATTAACATGTTGAATTTCATGTACAGTATATTCTCAAATTCAGTATCCCTAAAAGATGGAAAGAACCACGAATGAGGGTAACAAATTCAGTGTATTATAGTTTTACACACACATACTCTCTTTCTCTCTAACTGCAGATGTGATGAAGCTCATTTTCAATACATTCTCAGACTGGTGTAAGAGCTCTAAGAGCTCAATACACAAATTGCTGGTCTTCCTCTTCAGGGGCTGAAGTCAACGTACTTAGATCGGCTTACTGTGGTGTCTTCACCGCGGTGAGTCAACTGCTGCTGCTTCCCCATTGACACTGCCTGAGCCTCTTGCGGCGCTGGAGTACAGGACTTGATGGGAGAGCGCTCGGGCGTCGATTTATCGCGTCTAGACTAGATGCGATAAATCGATCGCTGCCCGCCGATCTTTTTTGCTAACTTACATTCTAGTGCATTCTAAATTACACTCTAAACCTTATCTGTGCAGAAGACAGAGATTTTTCAGGGAACTAAGGACCAACCCCCACCCCATTCTGCTTCAAATACAAGATGCACTTCTTCAACCTTGCCTCTTCTCTAATATAAAAACACACAATTTTTAAGAAAACCTACCAAACAAAACACTACAGTGCACACACAGTCCTCCCTCTAAGAAGAGGATGAGAGAAAAAACGAATCACATGCAACAGATATTAGTCAATTCTTTTAATGTACTACTGGAAAGTGCTTGGATACTACAATGATTAGGGCTATATAAGAATCTGTATAGAATTATTTGTCCTATAACTAAATATATTGATATTAGACTTGTAAAAAAAATATTTATCTAACCAGTACACCTTGGCGCTGCCCGCCGATCCAGCGGGTAGTGAAGACATACCCTAAGACATAGCTGAACACAGTGTGCAAAATCTTAAGAGCTATTATGGAATAACAATAAGTGTCAGGTATATTTTTTTAAGCTCTGAGTTCAATCATACCCAAATAGCACCCCATCTCCCAAATAATATATGGGTCTTTTTCCCATGATATTGGGTCATTATTATACAATCAAATCCATCTATAAAATAAGACATCAGTATGTGTAAGAAGATGTACATAAGAGTTATTCCCTCTACCTAGGTGAACCTTGCAATGGAATAATATGTATCTAAAATAAGGAATAATTCAGCAATTAAAGGAATTAAAACAAAATAGTAACACCAAAAACTGTTTTGTATGCAGACCATATTACATGAATATTATCTTACCTGAAAGTCTTTGACAAAATAAAAAGAAACTGAAGGTTTGAAAGAGTCCAGTTTGAAAGTAAATTACATAAAATCGGAAATTGTGGCTACTAGGGCTGTTGGTTAATTGCAGTTAACTCACATGATTAACTCAAAAAAATTAATCATGATTAATCGCAGTTTTAATCACACTGTTAAACAATAGAATACCAATTGAAATTTATTACATATTTTTGGATGGTTTTCTACATTTTCAAATATATCGATTTCAATTACAACACAGAATACAAAGTGTACAGTGCTCACTTTATATTATTTTTGTTACAAATATTTGCACTGTAAAAATGATAAACAAAAGAAATAGCATTTTTCAATTCACCTCATCCAAGTACTGTAGTACCATCTCTTTATTGTGAAAGTGCAACTTACAAATGTAGATTTTTTTTTGTCACATAACTGCACTCAAAAACAAAACAATGCAAAACTTTAGAGCCTACAAGTCCACTCAGTCCTACTTCCTGTTCAGCCACTCATTAAGACAAACAAGTTTGTGTACATTTACAGGAGATAATGCTGCCCACTTCTTATTTACAGTGTCACCAGAAAGTGAGAAAAGGAGTTTGCCTGGGACTTTTGTAGCTGGCATTGCAAGGTATTTGCAAGATATGCTAAACATTCATATGCCCCTTTATGCTTCGGCCACCATTCCAGAGGACATGCTTCCATGCTGATGAAGGTCATTAAAAAATAATGCGTTAATTAAATTTGTGACTGAACTCTTTGCGGGAGAATTGTACATCTCCAGCTCTGTTTTACCAACATTCTGCCATATATGTCGAGTTATAGTAGTCTCGGATGATGACTCAGCACATGTTCATTTTAAGAACACATTTGACAAAATGGAAAGGTGGTACCAATGTGAGATTTCTAAAGATAGCTACAGCACTCGACCCAAGGTTTAAGAATCTGAAGTGCCTTCCAAAATCTGAGAGGGAAGAGGCGTGGAGCTTGCTTTCAGAAGTCTTAAAAGAGTCAGATGCAGAAACTACAGAACCCAAATCACCAAAAAAAAAAAAAAAATCAACCTTCTGCTCGTGGTATCTAACTCAGATGATGAAAATGAACATGCATTGGTCCGCACTGCTTTGGGTTGTTATCAAGCAGAACCCATCATCAGCATGGACGCATGTCCTCTGCAATGGTGGCTGAAGCATGAAGGGACACATGAATCTTTAGCATATCTGGCATGTAAATATCTTGAGACGCTGGCTACAACAGTGCCATGCGAATACCTGTTCTCACTTTCAGGTGACACTCTAAACAAGAAGCAGGCAGCATTATCTCCTGCAAATGTAAACAAACTTGTTTGTTTAAACGATTGGCTGAATAAGAAGTAGGACTGAGTGGACTTCTAGGCTCAAAAGTTTTATATTGTTTTATTGTGAATGCAGGATTCTTTGTACATAATTCTACATTAGTAAGTTCAACTTTCATGATAAAGAGATTGCACTACAGTACTTGTATTAGGTGAATTGAAAAATACTATTTATTGTGTTTTTTACCGTGAAAATATTTGTAATAAAAATAAATATAAAATGAGCACTGTACACTTCATATTCTGTGTTGTAATTGAAATCAATATATTTGAAAATGTGGAAAACATCCAAAAATATTTAAATTATATTGTATTCTATTATTGTTTAACAGTGCGATTAATCACAATTAATTTTTTTAATCGTTTGACAGCCCTTCTGGCCACTATTATTACACAGAAAAAGTAAAATCATGTAAGATCTCATAAATTGAAATGGATGCCTCATTTTGTGCAACTCTGAGGAATAAATATTCTAATCAACTTTGATAAATTGTAAGAAGTGATATCAAAATTAATAAATTAATAAAATATTGGCAAAACCGAACCCACTGAAAATGTCATGGTTAGGAATGGTGGCTACAATCAACATGGAACTGCTCCTTATACATGGTTTACTATTTCTAACTCTCCCTTTAGAAGTCCCCAGAATATTTTAAAATATCTGCTAAATACTATTTCTAACTTTGTAAGGAAGGATAAAGGCCATGAGACGTTTGAGCCAATTTGCTTGAGCCTGACTGTGATACCCTTACACACATTTGGTAGTACCTTACTCTGTAAATAGTCCAAATGATATGAATGGTTTTCACACCGAGTATCGTACTACTCAATGTGAGTAGGGTATCACATTCTGGCCTTTTATGGTCTGATTTTTACTGGTGACTTGAGAGGATGCCAAGGAAGTTAAAATTGGATTTTTGATGGAAAGTAAGACAGCTTTAATTAATCAGCTACCACAATACATTTTAGCACACGTCACTTAAAGAACATTTATAGCTTTAAAATGCCAGATTACCAGTGCAAACACGTACTACATGACAAAGCAATCAACAAAAGCACATTTACAATTCTGAGAGAAACTCACCAATTTTTTCAGTCAACATTCTGGTACTGAAATGACTCAAACCCCAATAAAATGATATTCTTAAGTATTTTTTCTACTTTAGAGGTTTCACATTCCTGAATGTTATGGTGGTTTAAAACATTGAAGGAATAAAAAGGGTAAAATAACTCAGAGGAAAAATAGAAATGCAAGTGTCACCTAACAAATTACATTTTGAAGAATTAAAACAGTTATAACTTCTTTGGAAAGGCAGTTCAAATTTAAATGTATAATTTTGTCTATTAAATGTAACAACAACACATTAGCATTGCTTATATGATCTACTCTTATAAATGTAGAACTCATGCTCTGAGCTCTTTCTCCAAACACTGTGTCATGTCTCATTTGCTATATATTTAATAATTTCCTCCCATTTCCCTGCTCGGTCTTTACAGTTTATAGTTAAACGTGTCGTTGGGCACTGAATAGCACATTCAGAGTTTGTTAATGGAGACAGGTGATGCTATTGAGTAAAAGGAGACACCTCAAAGGGAATGGTTAACACCTACGTGGCCTCCACTGGGCCCCTTAATATCATTTGTATAACCCTGTTCCCACTGTAGTCAATGGCAAGACTCCTATTGACTTCAGTAGAAGCAGGACTAGCCCATAGGTTTTCTCCCTACTTGCTGTGTACATCATCTAAATACTTGTGGATAATTATCATATCTCTCTAGCGCTGCTGTCATTGTTTAGCCAATGTATAAATATTTTAGTACTGTTAGGGTTCCCTTCCCACTCCGAACTCTAGGGTACAGTGTGGGGACCCACATGAAAGACCCCCTAAGATTATTTCTACCAGCTTAGGTTAAAAACTTCCCCAAGGCACAAATCCTTCCTTGTCCTTGGATGGGTACTGCTGCCACCACCAAGTGAGTTAGACAAAGATTTAGGAAAAGAACCACTTGGAGTTCCTGTTTCCCTAAATATCCCCCCAATCCTCTTTATCCCCTTTCCTGAGAAGGCTTGAGAATAATCTACCAACCAAATAGGTAAACCAGATTCTTAAAAACAGAACTTTATTATAAAGAGAAAAAAAAGTAAAAGCAGCACCTCTGTAAAATCAGGATGGAAGGTAACTTTACAGGCTAATCAGATTCAAAACACAGAGGGCTCCCCTCTAGGCAAAACTTTAAAGGGACAAAAAAACAGGGATAAACCTCCCTCTTAGCACAGGGAAAATTCCCGGGCTAAAAACAAAAGATAATCTAATGTGCCTTGCCTTATTTACTTACTCTTTTTGCAATACTGAGACTCATTTTAGGATGATTTTAGGAGAAGGAGTTTTCTGACCTGATGCTTCTCTGCTTCCCCAGGGAACACACAAACAAAAAGCACAAAAAAAGCCTCCCTCCCCCGCATAGATTTGAAAGTATCTTCTTTCCCCATTGGTCCTTTTGGTCAGGTGCCAACAAGGTTATTTGAGCTTCTTAACCCCTTACAGGTAGGGAGGATTTCTAGGCTACCCTTAGCTGTACGGTTTTGACACGCCCCTCAAATCACAGACGGTTCTGGACAGCCTGTACCACACTGGCTGTGATTTCTTCCTGGAGCTCTAGGAGAAAACAGAGTTAATAAGACACATGCACCTCTAGATATACTACTGATTATATAAAAACTAACAATAATTTCCACATTTCAAGGATGATTTTAACCAGTTGATTCTGGGAAACTTTCATGGGAGAGAGCACCAGCCATCTTGTTAGAAGCTCCTGAAACGTATTATATTTCAAAATCAAAATCTTGGAGAGCTAAACTCCACTGAAGAAGTTTTTTGTTATTGTCCTTGATGGTATGAAGCCACTTCAGCGCAGCATGGTCGGTTTGCAGATGGAAACGCCATCCCCAAACATGTGGGTGTAGCTTTTCCAGAGTGTATACAATGGCGTAACATTCCTTTTCACTGACTGACCAGTGGCTTTCCCACTCAGACAGTTTTTTGCTGAGAAACACGACAGGATGGAATTCTTGATCCGGTCCTTCCTGCATTAAAACTGCTCCCACACCACGCTCGGATGCATCTGTGGTTACTAAGAAAGGTTTTTCAAAGTCTGGGGCCCTGAGCACAGCGTCAGACATGAGTGTCACTTTAAGCTGGTTAAAGGCCTTCTGACACTTTTTAGCCTTAACAGTTAGTCCTGCCTCTCGTAATCCTCAAAGACCTTCCGGAGATGCTCCAGGTGTTCTGCCCATGAGTCAGAAAATATGGCCACACTGTCAAAATAGGCAACTGCAGATTCTCCCAATACCGCTAGGACACTATATACAAGTTTCTGGAAGGTGGCGGGTGCATTTTGCCACCCGAAAAGGAGCACATTAAATTCATACAGCCCTACATGGGTGATGAAGGCTGATCTTTCCTTGGCAGATTCATCTAGTGGTACTTGCCAGTACCCCTTGATTAAGTCTAAGGTAGAGCTGAACTGGGCACATCCCAGTTTCTCCAATAGCTTATCTGTGAGAGGCATTGGATAGTTGTCTGGGCAAGTCACAGAATTTAGCTTACGGTAGTCCATGCAAAAGTGTATTTCCCCATCTGGTTTGGGAACTAGAACCACTGGAGATGACCATGCACTGTTAGAGGGGCAGATTACACCCATCTGTAGCATATCCTGGATCTCCCGTTCTATAGCAGTTTTAGCTTAAGGAGACACCCCGTAAGGTTGAGCTCTAATTGGGCGAGCATAACCTGTGTCAATGGAGTGGTATGCCTGTTTGGCTGAGAACATTGGCGCACAGCTCCTTGATCTGCTGTCGCTGCATACGCCCAAGGGTCATGGAGAGGTTCACCTCTTCCACACCACCAGCACATTTCCCTTCGTAGTAGACACCTTCAGGCCACTCAGCGTCATCTCCTCCCTGAGCTGTAAACTGACAAACCTTTAATTCTCTGGAATAAAAGGGCTTTAGAGAATTAACATGGTACACCTTAGGCTTTAAGTTTGAGGTGGGGGATGCTATGAGATAGTTAACAGCTCCCAGGTGCTCTTGGACCGTGAATGGCCCTTCCCACGATGCTTCCATCTTATGGTCCTGGAGCGCCTTCGAGACCATGACCTGGTCCCCTACTTTGAAGGAACGCTCTCTGGCATGTTTATCATACCAGGCTTTTTGCTCTTCCTGAGAATCTTTTAGGTTTTCTCTAGCAAGAGCTAAAGAGGTTCAGAGGGTGTTTTGTAGGTTGTAGACAAAGTCCAGAATGTTACTTCCTGGAGAAGGCGTAAAACCCTCCCATTGCTGTTTCACCAACTGTAATGGCCCCTTAACCTTGCAGCCATACACAAGTTGAAATGGTGAAAACCCTAAACTGGGACATGGTACAGCCATGTAGGCCACAAGCAACTGCTGCAACACTAGTTCCCAATTGTTGGAGTGCTCATTCATGTATTTACGTATCATTGCCCCCAAAATTCCATTAAACTTCTCCACCATGCCATTTGTTTGATGATGGTAAGGGGTGGCAACCAAGTGGTTCACCCTATGAGTTTCCCACAGGCTTTTCATGGTCCCTGCCAGGAAATTAGTTCCTGAATCCGTAAGGATATCAGAAGGCCAGCCTAACTGGCAAAAATGTCTGTTAGTGCCTGGCACACACTTTTAGCCCTGGTGTTCCTTAGAGCTACTGCTTCTGGCAATTGGGTGGCAAAATCCATGACAGTCAGTATGTACTGCTTTCCTCTGGGTATCTTTTTCGGGAAAGGACCCAGAATATCCACAACTACTTGCTGAAATGGAATCTCAGTTATGGGGAGTGGCTGGAGAGGGGCTTTGACCTGGTATGGGGTTTTCTCACTCTTTGGCATACCTCACAAGACTGGACATAGGTAGAAACATCCTTGCCCATTTCCTCCCAGTGGAATAACCTCCCCAAATGGTCTTTGGTCCTTTTCACCCCAGCATGACCACTAGGATGATCGTGGGCTAAGCTCAAGAGCTTTACCCAGTACTTAGTTGGAACAATCAACTGTCTTTGAGGATGCTAGTCCTCCTGGTGCCCACTAGAAAGAGTTTCCTTGTATAAACGTCCTCTTTCTACAACAAACCAGGATCGATTAGAAGAGCTGAGAGGCGGTGGGTTGCTCCGTGCCACCATCCAAGCTCCCTGGAGGCTTTCATCTGCTTCCTGTTTGGCCTGGAACTGTTCCCTTGATGCTGGAGACATCAGTTCCTCACTGGATTGTGGACTTGTGCTTGGTCCCTCTGGAAGCAATGCAGGTGATGGGGCTGTTTCCATGGACTGTGAACCGCTCTCCGCTGGTGCACTAGGTTGTGTTTCAGGCTCCAGCTGAGCCTCTTGCGTAGGTTTATCTGCTGCTGCCAGGGCAGGCTCGATGGTGCTAGTACTTTTAATCTTTCCTCATAAATTAATCCTTCCAACCTCCTCATGATTTTTGTTGCTCTTAACTCCCTGAGCTCTGACTCTGGACAGCTTTACACAAAATAGTTGCACTGGTTTAACTAAAATCAGTTTTTAAATTGAATTAATGAAACAAGTGCAAACCCTCTGTGTGAGCACACCTAAATCGATACTCAAATGGCTCAGTTCAATTAAGTTTATCTTAGGGAGTTCAGAGAAGAGCAAGAAAAATTATTAGGAGGTTGGATGGGTGGACTGACTGAAGAGGAAAGATTAAATAAACATTGACCAACCAATGAACAACAGGGTTGGAAAGACATGATAATTGGCAACAAAATTTTAAAGAATATAAGCACCTAGGGAGGAAGTTCATGGCCACATCCTACTTTCACTGAAGTTGATGGGAGTCTTGCCACTGACTTCAGTGGGAGCAATACTGATTTCTTAGTAAGTGTGGCATAAGGGAATACCAGAAATTGCCTCTTTCCTGGCTGAAGTTGCAGTGACCTCTGAAGCGCTGTGCCGATACAAATTTATGTCCGCGGGTGTGGATATTCACAGATATAAATTGGTATCTGCTGAACTGCAGGGCTTTCCCGGGAACCGCAGTGGTGAAAAGAGCAGAATGTGGGGCAGTCATTCCCAGGAGCCAACACCCCGTGCTGGCAGATTAGGGGTCTGGAACACATGAGTTATGAGGAGAGACTGAGGGAACTGGGATTGTTTAGTCTGCAGAAGAGAAGAATGAGGGGGGATTTGATAGCTGCTTTCAACTACCTGAGAGGTAGTTCCAGAGAGGATGGTTCTAGTCTATTCTCAGTGGTGGAAGAGGACAGGACAAGGAGTAATGGTCTCAAGTTGCAGTGGGGGCGGTTTAGGTTGGATATTAGGAAAAACTTTTTCACTAGGAGGGTGGTGAAACACTGGAATGCGTTGCCTAGGGAGGTGGTGGAATCTCCTTCCTTAGAGGTTTTTAAGGTCAGGCTTGACAAAGCCCTGGCTGGGACGATTTAATTGGGTATGGGTCCTGCTTTTGAGCAGGGGGTTGGACTAGATGACCTCCTGAGGTCCCTTCCAACCCTGATATTCTATGATTCTATGAAGCTGACTAATTAAACACAGCCTTATTCTCCATACCCATCATAACCTAGCTGATCAACACTGCCATCAGCTAGAACTGTTAAATTCTGTCAGCTACCTCTGTTTTTGCTCCCAGCCTGCCTCACCAGACCTAATCACACAGAGCAAAGGCAGACAGGCTGAGCAGCAGGGGATGTAAACTGGGCCTTTAAGGGAGCACAAAGGCTGAGCAGGGCTGTCAGGGGAGAGAAGCAGGAGGAGTGCAAGGAAGCTAAAATGTGAGAGCTATGCTGTGCAAGATGGGCTGGAGTCTATGTAGGGGAAGAGGAACTCTGGAAGGTAGAGGGGACGCAGTATGTATGCACCACTACCTCAACTCTTACTGACAAAACCATCCCTTACCTCTGGCCCTTCAGAACTCTTCACTGGGCCTCTGCCCCACAACCCTTCCTGGCTGTCCTGACATACCACCTGAGCTGGCTGCATGCTATCCAGCTGGTCCAACTCCAAACTGCACCCAGAGAATGTCTGTATCTGCTGGTGCCTCATACCATCCACTTCCTCACCCTTATGTCCAGCCCTGATACCAAGTGATGGGACCTGTTGCCACCTAATAAAGGCAAAGAACCCCAGTGGGCCAGCTTGTACTCCACTCTGGTTCCATGGCCCACCAGGGAAATTAGATGGCAGCTCTTCCTTGGAGCCATGAGCACAAGTGTGTACCTGGTCTGGTTTATGAACTCTCCCAACAGCTGTCCCTTTTGTGATGAGAGGGAGACCCTGGAGCACATCTATGTAGAATGCATCAGGTTGCAGTGCCTCATCTGGCTCCTCCAGAACCTTACTGAGGTTCTGGCTGCATTTCTCCCAAAGTCCTGACTTATGCATACCACATCTGTGGCCCCACAAAATATTGGGACCGCCTCATCAACCTACTTCTGGCGCTGGCCACGATGGTCATCCATCATATCAGGAGCTTTGTGACTGTGGGACCTATTTCTGGTCCCTTATCCAATCATGCCTGCAGGCAGAGTTCATCTGGGCAGTATCCATTGACTCCCTAAATGCCTTTGAGGAACACAGGGCACTTTCGGGAGGTTTCTGCTCCGTGTCCTCAT